CCCTACAACAAAGTCTCTTAACACGATCTTCACTTGTCTTCACGTACTAATAACGTGGGAGCTATACAAGTCTCCCTGAAATACACACTCCGAGTATAACTGTACTACAGCAATCACTATGTCTGGAAAGCACACAATAAGTCTTCCGCTCGCTGACTTCTTAGTTATCGCACACTCGCAGGCTGCTATGTTTCAACTGATGATCACACTGCTGTGGAGTCCGCTTATATAGCCTTGCGCTGTTGCTAGTGTGACGTGGCGTATAGCATAGGACGCTGTTGCTAGCGTGACGTCACCGCTGTTGATTAGCATTGCGTAGTTGCCAGGTTACGGGGCTCGGCTATCTTCGGCTCCGCTCGGCTCTCTTCGGCTCCGCTCGTGAAGTCACCGCGCGTTGCGCATTGCGGGGTGATTACTCGCGTATTAGGCGAGCGCTCAGTTACCGCTGAGGGGAGGGAGGGGAGCGCTGACTCACCCGCCGCGTCACTGCTGGTGTGGGGGGGGGGCTCGGATTTCGCAACATGTCACAATATGTCTGAACACAAGTTTGGAAAAATGTGTGATCACAAGCGACACTAAGATGCTAGCGGATCTAGTGCTAAACACAGACTGATATAGCAAGCGCACAATCCGGGACTTCCCCTCTCGTCACTCGTTATGCGAAACGTCGCTCGTTCAGCGAGTCATTCTTCTACAATTTATTTTGCTCGTTATGCGAATTACTCGTTATGAGAGGTTCTCGTTAAGCGAGGTTCCAATGTGTATCATTAATTAATTTATGTGAGGCCGTTTTTGTAGATGAATTACTTCTTAAACCATATTGTTCATTTGCTATTATGTTGTTACTCATTATATATTGGTGCAGTCTTGCGTATATAACTTTTCAACAACTTCTGAAAACGATGTCAGTAATGATATAGTTCTGTAGTTAGTCATATTAGTTTTATCTGTTTTTAAATAATGGGTTTATTCTGAATATTTCAACCAAGTGGAGAAGACACAAGTTGAAAGAGATCTGTTACAAATATGTTAATGGAGGACTAATGAAAGGCGTGCTGATTTTTAAAGCCGAATTTCATCATTTTTTTTTTTGTGGCTCTACAGCCCCACTTTGGGCCTAGGCCTACCTCCATGAAACTCTCCGTTTCACTTCGGTTTACTAGATCTTACATATTCGGTAGGACTCCTTGGGCGAGTGATCAGCTCGTCGCAAGGCCTCTACCTGTAGACAAACACGGAAAAACGCACACAAACATCCATGCCCTGAGTGGGATTCGAACGCACGATCCCGGCTTCCGAGCGAGCGAAGACAGTGCATGCCTTAGACCGCTCGGCTACCGTAACCGGCCGAATTTCATCATACCCACTACCTTTCTTTGGTTTTAAATACTTAATTATATTGTCACGTGTTGGGTATGTGACACGACAAATAACTTCACGCCGTCTTGGATCTAGCGAATTTATTCCACTCGCTCTTACAGTTACACAATTTACAATCTCACAACTACTGCCATCGGCAATGTCACAATTACTTCTCCTGCTGGAGTCCCTGCCATGCACTCGATACAACCCGACTCGGTGACTGCTAGACTTCCACAGCTCTCGGCGACTTTACGATCCACACTGTGTCACTCCTAATCACACTGTTCCTTAGTCCAAGTCAAAGTCCAAGTCACTGCGACTGACGGTCAGTCAGTCTGTCTGTCTTGGTGTCGAGCCCCGGCTTGGGCTCGTTACCAATTTTTTTTTTCCTTATATGAAAGTTACTGTCCTGTCCATTTGGGGCGCCCTCTCCGACGAGAGGTCGGGTCTGTCATTTGTAAGTCATAGTCCGTATTAGTAAGTCCATTGTCAGTATTTACATGTACTTACAAATGTAATCTTAATTCCTATTTCTATGTACAATATACACAAGGCCTCTGTCAATCCAGGCTCAGTACAGCAGATTTTGCCCTATTTCTAGTAGTATTCGCTACCACAGTAGCCTATTCACTTGAACGGTCGTATGCCTGACCGCCGCCAAGTTTAAGCCTCTTATACTTTCTGTGTTGGGCTTCGCCTTGTCCGATGTTGCGAACATTCTCATTTTCATGATTTTGTATGACTTCTGCTTGTTTCCTGCATAATTTTGTTATATAGTCATATACGTACGGGATTTTGAATGTCATGTGCAAATCGCAGACCGGTGTGCGCCTTGGAAAATTGCCAATTGCGCTGCAATTTCACTAGATGAGTGTCTCTGTGGGTGACACTTTTCCTGGGTAAGGTACGACTTTACGATGTCTCTCTTGCGTCGTGCCACTGTTGCACGACGGGATATCTTCCGATCTATTGGCGTTTTCCGTGCCACTTTCGCACGGCTTGTTGTCCCTCTGCGGGCGATGGCCAATTTGTGGGGCCCAAAATTTTACCGTGTCGAATTCTTTGGTTTCTAGCGGCGGCGCTCCGCGGCCAGTTTTTGGTCCTTACGCCTTTTCTTCTTCGGTTCTCCGACCGGCATTATTTCGGCGTCTTCTACGGGGACTTCTTCTTGTTGTCCCGCCTCAGGTTTCATGTCCACGAGGTTGGCTCGTCTTCTTCTTGACGTGCCTCCATCTCCCGGCAGGCTATTGTCTCTTTTCGGGTGATTGACGTCATTTCTTCTTCAGATTCTCCGACCGGAATCACTGTGGCGTCTCCTATGGGGACCCTTCTTGTTGTGCCGCCTCAGATTTCGTGTCCACTGAGGTTGGCTCTTCCTCTTCTAGATGCGGCGCCGTCGTTTCTCGGCAGGCCAGGCGTAATAATGGAATGGGTGGGGGTATGTGACGTCACTCGCGAGACCGCAGAGTTCACGTGACCCCCACTTCCTGTTGCGCCATCCACGTTACAATATTTTCATTTTCTTTAGTAGAGGTATGGTTCAGTTTAACTTTTGGAAAGGGAATCGTGAAAGCTCGAGGCAGATAATCTAACTATTTGTCAGCATCCGACTCTATATAATGTGGCCAACGTTTGCATCATTGGTATTGATCTTGTCAGCTATTTTTCGAAAATTATTATTAAAAGAATCTGTATACCTGCATTATTAATTTTTATACCTGTGTCTGATTTTATAATGCTCCAGGTGGTTTCCATTTTGTTACTAGAAGTATAAATTAATTATAATGAAGATTTTTAGCTCCTTTAATAACACTGGCCAAAATTTTACAGTATGTTTTATAATAATATTTTACATCTGGCTCATACCATGCTGAATCCCTGGGAAAATAGAAGACTTTGATTCCAGTGTGCTCACTGCATGACATGCACCCAGGAGCAAAGCATTTTCTTATTCTTCCAATTTATCCTGCAAGAAGAAATACAAAAATTATAACACAATCACAGTACACTCAGAGTTTCTTGAGAATCTACGGTCCTTCTTTAGGCTACACCGAAAGATGCTTAAAATATAGAAATACGACTTGAATGAAATATCGTAGCAACACTTTTTGACTTCATATTTGTTTTTAATTACACTGGGCGTAGTAAGCATAATAATCCATATACAAAAATAACACACAGATGTAAATTCGTGCGTAAATGTCGACTCTCGTTCCACAACATCAAATCAAAATCCCTACTTACTTACTAATTAATCTAATTAATTGCACGACATACCTCAATGGCGCACACGTAACGTTACAAACTACGCAGTAGTACTGAGCGAACGCCCAAAGCCTTCAACGGAAATTCAAGATTCTCTGATTGAATGACACTTAGCGATTCGATTAATTGCGATAGGCGTATTATGATTGATTCCTAACATTTCCAGAGTATCTAGTTCATGTAGGTTGCGTAGAAATGGCAGTTCTGCATGTTTCCATTCCCCTAACCCAGTTTCTTACCCCTGCTCGAACCAATGGTAATTGAAACGAATGGGAGATATACTGACAAGTGTGGATACTAGAGCAGTCACTTTCGATTCAATCATTTTTGCAATTGTTCAACATGTGGACATGTGCAAATATATAAGCAGATCACATTTCTCATCCTGCACTAACTTAGTTCTCGGTTGAATAACCTTCTTAAATTCATCTGTTCCTCTATGCAGGTTTCCAATAGTCTGCTTTTTACTCTGGGATGCAAACTCATTGATCTTGTCTTTCAGATATGCTCACTTTTATTGCCGAAATACTTGCTGGCTTGGCGTCTTATATTGCTCAGATTATCCCCAGTTATTAGGGTTTATTCCTGTAACCATTGCAATCTGGCTTGATTCCTTTGATCGAATAGTTTTGAATATCCTTCATCGAGCCATGACTTATGCTTGTTCAGTTCATAATAACCTACATTCGCGTTGACTGAAATCCGTATAAAGCTGTAATCCAAGTAACATTTCGTGTGCTTACTTTTTGATTTTGATTTTTTCAACCCAGAATGGGCGGTGACCAAATTGCGCCTCATCCCTCCCCGCCCACGCAATACGACCAACCTAGGCCGCAACTTCCCATGTATCACCTATGCGCGCAGCATTTCCGTACAGTTCCATTTCAGTGGCCGTGGATCAGACAGTGGTGATAGCTGATAACGCATACGTAAAAATGCGTGTGTAAGACCTCGCCGTTGTCAGCACTGTAAGGAATTGTTGTCCCGTTGCTAGGAAACAGCTTGCAGTTGTAGATTGTTGCTTAGAAGACGGTGTTATTTCGTAGTGTGGTGTTCGCTAGCGAGGTTGAGAGAACAAATTTGTGTAATGAAATAAAATAATACTTATAGTTGATAAGCACGATGTCAAAGAACAACGAAAGTCAGTTGTTGGGACATTTCCATTGGTTTCGAAGGAACCTAAATGAGACGGTAAATATAAGCAGATATCAGTACTGTAAGGAATTGTTATCCTGTTGCTAGGAAACAGCTTGGAGTTGTAGATTGTTGCTTAGAAGACGGTGTTATTTCGTATTGTGGTGTTAGCTACTGAGGTTGAGAGAACAAATCTGTGTAATGAAATAAAATAATACTGATAATATACGATAAGCACGATGTCAAAAGACAACGAAAGTCAGTGGTTGGGACATTTGCATTGCTTTAGAAACAACCTAAATGATACGGTAAATATAAACAGATTAACATTTTACACATGTTCTGTAGTACTGAATACATCTCTTCTGCTTGGCTGTGGCTTGCTCTTAATCAAACTGTATTTAGAAGTATGCTATATAAATACACAAAGATAATGAATAAGACGAGTCAGGATTCGAGGTTGTAATAGCGGTGGTTATATTATAACGGCGTGTAGGCCGTTGAAAGGCAACCGACGTTTCAGAGGAATATATTGCCTCCATCTTCAGGACTGAAGAATAAGCCAAAATGAAACCTGCTGGAAGCAGGTAGTATGCAGGATTTCACAGAGGCTGTGTTAGAGAAAACGCTTGTTTTCATGACTTTCTCTCCATATGTGCAAGTTATGTTAGTTCTCTCATGCACATTATGATTTACTAAGAGAATTTCCACCAGTCATTTTGTAGGTGGTCAGTTATATGTGAGTCAAATATTATAAATTAGAGCACTCAGTCATTTTTGGTATATTGAATTTAAATGACTGTATCTATACTTTGATGTGCACTTAATTTCTGTTGTGATCTTTTTGCCAGATTGAGTCACTGGAAGTTCAACCAAGAGATGTCAACTCTGTAGAGAGAGACTCGGATATCAAGGAACAGGAAACAGAATTAAGGGGATCCATTAAGAAGGTACTACAGTAATTATTGCATATAACATAGCACCAAGGGACCGTTTGAGACAGAATTTTGTTTAAACCAGACACTGGCTTTGAGCTCACCAAGCAGTTTATTCTTAAAGCGTTCTGCTTATGCATGTTTGTTGGTAAATGTTATGTTAGTCCTTTCTCATCAATGGCGACAATGCTCCTTCTCAGACATAACACAGGAAGCAAAATGGAAAACAACAAATAGCAAGGACTGTGTAACCTTAAATTCATTTGTATTTATATGCCTTTTGAGCTTTGATATTACACAGTATGGCTCTTATAATGGGATATAGCACTGGGTTACACTGTGGGGTTTTGCCTTTGTTGTTCGTCATTACTCCGATGACAACCCACTTCTTCGGAAAAGTTTGTTGGTCCTGAAAAGGACCGTGGTTGCTGAGATGCTTGACCGGTGAGGTAGCGCGGCGCGCGCCGGTAGGGAGAGAGGTTAGTTGCGGTGATTTGATGGCCACAGCGCGGCCGTTGCTGGAGGTTGCTTGATCGCCGTGCGCAGGTGAGTTGAAGTTGCGTGGTCGCCCAGCGCGGTCGTAGGAGTGATGAGGCAGTGTCTACGCCAGATGCCCAGTGAGTCGGACAGGGACACGACCACCGGCGAGTCCAGGCGAGGTGCCCCAGTGAGTAGGGTGTGAGAGCCGGAGGGCCGAGGCAGTCGTGCCTGGCGCAGGCTGCCGATGCCTCCGAAGACCGAGCGCTGGCGACGAAGCCTGCTGGCTGANGGCTAGCAGCGAGCGCAGTATAAATGCGAACGTTTGGAGCAATTTGATTGGGATTGGTAATAGAGGACTGATTGCATTAGGGGATTGATTCGGTTCTGTTGTGTGCGTCCGGATTGAAAAGGGGATAGAGACTGAGATTTCGATTCGGTGAGTAAGAATTTGTCTGTTCGACAAAACTCGATACTGGATGTGAAATTTGGACTGTGAACTCTTGTTGTGTCTTGGGCAGCGTTGTTTGTGGATTCGTTGCGGGCAGTGAGTTGTGTCCCAATATCTTGACTTATACACCAGTACTCGGCCGGGTTGTTTAATCGGTAAGTGTCGAGCCAGAGATGGCTGGCGTCCCTGTGCCGGGGTACCAGGCATTCTGGGCCGAAAAACGTGCCGCTCTTCAGGCCGAATGTAAAGAAATCATACGACAATACCCCGAGGCCGAAACCCAGTACAGGCGCTTATTCGACATCTT